TTGTCAACAAGCTCAACGTTCATTGCCTTCTTGGACACTCTTGCAAGATCCAAACACCTGCCGTCACCGCTCGTTTGGCAGGGAGGCATGGTTGGAATATGACTCATGTGGCTCGGTGGCAAAGGTTTCTGAGTATGTGGTTGAGCCTTGAATCACCAAGGCTATGACAGCGCATATAGCAACTGGGAGCTAGTTAAGGCCATCTCATTTTGTCAACAGGTTTGATTCATTTTGTTCCAGTTTACTTCATAAGCACTTGTTTGTAGGCCGATCAAGAAGCACAGGGTATCTCTCGAATGGCTCTTGGCTCAGAACGCACTATGCTTTGTTTAAATGTGTTTTGTTCCTTTTGTTGTGTCACACACTGCGCCACCTGTGCACATGACTGAATAGATGTTTGTTGGTGATGTGAGCGACCTCAACTGGGACCAGAAAGCCAAAGGGCCAAAGACATACTGTAAGTCTCAACAAGGCCTCAGAGATAGAGATCTTCGAAAATATGTGTGCTCAAGATGTCTAGACAGGTGTCGAGGGAGTCTGCATGTCCATGCTTCTTTGCTACTTTGCTGCTTTGCTTCATTGAGGCCCAGATGCGATCCATCCAACGGATGGTCTGCCTTATTGACTCCTTTGGCCCTGAACAAAAGACGAAGCTGAAGCAGTGCATCGAAGCTTAAATTGTTTTAAACAATATTGAAACTCATCGAAATCCAATAAATGATGTGCTAGCTTTTGACCTCTGCCCAAATGGCCCGGCATGGTCGTCCAAGGCATGGACAAGACTTACACCAGTGATTCAGAAGTCTTGATAATGAAGATCGTTGCAGGTTCTTTGGTTACAAACAACGGTTAGCAGTTAGTATTGCTAAAGCAGTACACCAAGACCTGCTATACAAGCTTGGTTTTGCAGCATACTTCGGATGACAAGCATCAGGCGATCCAGAATCGAAATTGGATATCTTCACCTGCAACGCAAGTCTCTTGCTTGCAGATGGTCAACATTTCAAGACATCGGTCTCTACGTAGTAGTTTTGCAGAGATTTGTAAACACTGAACAGCAGCTATCAATATAATCCATATATAATATATATATATACACACATATGCGCGCCATGACATTCTAGGTGAAGTTCCTGGCTCTCCAGAGTTTGATGCTTTGCACTACTCTCATTTGCCTGATGGTGCGGAGCTTGGGCAGTGGTTTGACCATACCGGTGGGAATTGCTTTGTATAGAAGCAGATTTTGGTGTTGCAGGCGAATTGTCACAGGAAAAGCCTCGATGTATTATGGCCATCACACTTCTCAACATGTTTCCACCCTCTTTCCAAAATCCTCCGCACACGTCCAAGGAAGCAGGGGTTTGAGGGGCGGTGATACAGAGGAATGGTAAGTTGGAGACAGCAGTTCGAGGCTAGATCTATTTTTTGTATGTTCGAACCAAGATCAAGTAGAGGGTACGGGCCTTAGGGGAAGGTAGGTAGTGGAAAAGGATGGATATGGATTTATGCCACAATCGACTATATTCAACATTTATATATTGTGCTTGAAGCAACTTCAGGCATCTCTGCCTGTCCGGCAGTGACTTGTGAAGATGCCTGCGGGCTCTCCAACAGTAGCCAGGACTACAAGGACTGTTGGTGCGAAAGAATCAATGCTGCATGAGCTGTTGGATTTGTCAGCTGTCCCTTTAGATAAGACTCGCTTTTTGTTCTCATACTCTTCTGATTGTTGACACCATTCCATCAAACCATTCTTTGTCAAAGGAGGTAGAAGTGTGCGTTGGTTTGGGAAGCTGGCAGAGCACTCCGATTTCTAGCACAGAGGGTTGGAGCCAGATGGGTGCTGCCTTCCACATTGCGGCCAATGTCTCATGCGACAGCGGGCGGCTTAGAGGACTCATAGAACCAACATCGCTATACAGAGCTGATAGGCTCTGACAGCATAGACACCTACCGTATTTCAAATGCAGAATTAGAATCCGTTATATTGCATGTTGCTTTAGTTTTGCGAGAGACATTCAATAGCATATGTTAAGGTGAGCTCTTCTTCAATGCCGCTTGCTGAGATACTTTAGACCCTAAACACATACTGAGATGCTTTAGACTGTGGGAGCTTTGAAGTTCATATTTGACGCCCCGTCCGAGGCAGGGAGCGGAAACTGCTCCTATGCAGCTTGCCCGGAGGGCAGTGTGCGAAATGTGGAGGAGACAGTGCTTGCCGCGGTGTGTTGCAAGAAAGAATTGTTATAGAGGTAGCTAGGTAGCTAGTAGCTAGGTAGCTACTACCTACAAGTAGCTACTACCTATGGACGCAGGATAGCTCACGCTTCTTCAAAGAAGCTCCCCCCGCCGCCCTAAAAGTCGCGGGAGAAGCTTCCTTGAAGAAGCGCTCGCACTGATGATTTGGTTCCTAGATATTCCTAGACTTTTAGGGAAACTCAACATATATATTATATAGGATGACACAGGCACAGTTGGGGGTGCAAGTTGAGGGCTCCTGAGCCTCAACATTTGCTGAATTCTGTCAGGATCTTGCCAGCAGTGCAGCCAACCCCACAAAGGGACCTGGGGGCTGCCCTTGCAAGGTTGGAATGTCTGGCGAGCTTCCATGTCCTCATGTCATGTCCAGTCATTGTGTACGTTCCACTGTGTTCAACTGTTTGAATGCTCTGATTACCAGCTCTCCCTATCTAGCCACCCTTCTATCATGCTGCTTGCCCCAGATGACTATGCAGAGGAAGACAGCATCTCGTTGACAATGGCATTCTTTTGCAGTTTTGGATGTGCAGCTTGCATGTTCCAGAATGTTCCAGATTCTATGCAAGGGAAGAAGCAACGCAGGATGCATTTTCGTATTACATGTTGGCATCCGAGACCACTCCGATCCCGGAGATGACAACTGTCCCGGCCAAGTGCTTCAAGCAGCACCTGTGGCGAATTGCACTGTGCCGACAGAACTGCCTGTTTTGATCCTCAATCTACGTGTTACGACCTTTCGTGCATCAACGCATCAACCTTGAGTATTTCTTCCTGCTTGCCGGGCTCAGCTTCTCAATGTGTAACTTAATGGCTCTTCCAGAAAGAAGAGAAAGTAGGAATCGAATTAACTACCTACACTTATGACTATTTGATATCTAGAGCTCTCCAACGCCAGGCACGGGAAGGCAGCGTACTGGGACCTGGGCTCTTCGCAGTCCCTTGGTAGTGTCTCTGCGACCCTGCATCCAGGAGTTGGCCGTGTTGAGGCCTCGACCGGAGTCGACTTTATGCAACTTTGTCCAACTTTGCCGAGACACATTATTAATATATGTACTGTGTATATATATATATTGTTTTTTGTTTTGAAACAAGCTTTGTCGACTCTTCCAAATCTCTTCAAGTCTTGAGCAGGTCTACCTCACGGATTCCGGGCCAACTGAAGGAGGTTTGACCTCCACTGCAGCTAGTCTTGCAAGCATACCCGCAATGTGATGTCTTTGGATGATTGGACTGTATTGACTCTTCTGCTACGCTGATTAGATCATCTAAATTTATATACATACCTAGGTTCCTTTGTTTGCCGCCTGTAGAGAGCCAAGGATTCATGTGGCTCCATTACTAGCAGTCTCACGGCAGATTGCTCTGCTAAATCTGCTGGGCGCTTCTTGGTCACCTGGCTGGTAAGGTGATAGCAGTTTCACATTGCACGTCACACTCTTGCTAGGGGCTCCTAGCATCGCTACTAGGAACAAGAAGCTACTAGGGGCTCCTGGCATCGCTACTAGGAGCAAGGACGCTACTAGGGGCTCCTGGCTAGTAACAAGAAGCTACTCAGTACATGATGCCGTGAAGACTTGAATATAGCGCGATTTTCAGACTCACTGCCGTGAAAGGGTAGATTACCTCAAATACGATTGTAGGGTCATTCATTTCAATGACCATGAGCTCTTTACACGGCCTCCGGTCCAATATTTGGTTTTGTTTGTCCAAGGTCCTGAAGGGCATCACTGCAGGAACTTGTGTCATGGGAGATTGCGACATCGCATGGTGTGATTACCTCAGAGACGCCCGAACATGTCTTGGTGTCTTGGACGTGGGTTTGACTTGAAATTCATTCCATGCAAGGCCACGTGAAAGTGGACGGTGCTGAATTGACCCAGGAGACGCAGAAAGAACACAACATGACATTGCGCATGGTACAAGCAGCATCCACTTTTGAATTTGCAGTCTCTGCAGAGCCAAGCAAGAATGGTGAGCCAAAGTATGAACGGATACTAGACATTTAGGCAATCCAGTGTCCAACCATGCACTTGCTTTGTCACACGGGGACATTGCCGTTAAACATCTCACTTTTGCTTTTCATGTCCTTGCCACTTTACAGGATCCAGAGCCATCCACAGGCAAGTCCTACGCCGGAGAGGTTGGACGACTATGCGGGGACTGGACTTGGTGGACTTGGTGGTGATATTTGCCATCCCTTTTCAAGCACGTGACGCAGTTTAGTATCCCTGATCGCTGCTTTTTCTCTGTTGGACTTGCCTCTCCGAGACTGTCGGAGTCTCCAGGTGGTCATTGATGCATGATGCGCTGCATGATGCGCTGCATGATGCGCTGCATGATGCGCTTGATGCCCGGCGGTCACTCACAGCAGCCGTCTAGAGAAAGTGACACTCCGATGCTACGGAGAAAAGAGCAGCGGAGGCAGACTGCTCAATTAGCAGAAGGCAGTCCTGAACCACGGATGTCCTTTAGACTTAGAAATTTGTTGCCGTTCTGCCTTTTGTTTTTACAATAATATGAGCTTGGATAAGAAATGATTACAGTAAAACAAGTCAAGTTATATATATATATAAGATGAGTAAATATATCTTGTACTTTTCAGCTACCTTTGCAGGGTCAAAATACTTTTCCCTGCCAGACCGAAAGTATGGAGCAAGGAATATTGATGCTGCAGCTTTGTAGAGTGCCTCCAAGAAGCTTCGCCTTCACGTGACAGAAACATACAGAAACTCTTGTTACAGGAGCCCCGGACCAGCTTTCTTTTGGCACAGCGGTTGTCAAGAAGGCCTTCCTGACTGTGACGGAGCTTCCTTGAAGAAGCGTGAGCTATCCTGCGTCCTGTAGGTAGTAGCGTCCTACTAGCTACTAGCTACATCTCTTCCACTAGCTACCCTACCTATCGGCCTGCCGGCCTACCCCCCACGGAAAGTCCGTGCCATGAGGCTGAATCGAACACGGCGGCTCAAAGATTGTCTTAGTGCTATCCTCGCAGCCTGAGCCTTGCAGTGCCTTGCAGGGCTGAGTTTCAAGAGGTTCAGGTCGCGCAGGTCCTTTCAGTCGAGCGCCATGCTACTTGGATGAAAGGCTGCCGAGCTGGTGCGCTGTGTGGAAGAGCTTGTAGGGCTTCTCAGCATGTCTCGCCTCATTCAAGAACCTTTAATTTGTCAAGTCTACATTGTGGGTTCTTTGTTTCATGCTTTGATGCAGGCTGATCATTGACCAAGGTCATTCTGGATGTCCTTTCCAAAAATTTCTGGATTCTGCACCTCTTATCCTCCCAAGTTACATGTAGTTGGCTTTGCTTTGGGGGCTTTGCTGTTATTCTCTTGTTGGCTCATTTTGATAGAGTCCTCCACGCCCTATTTGATGCTTTTCTGCAGGTAGCGACTTCATCAGGGACAGGTTCATCGTGTGGACCCAAGGGGTTCTTTGATTCAACAGTCAATATCCTCAATCCTTATATATATATATAATAGGGGTTCTTTCTCACCATGTTTCAGTATGTTTCAGCTTCAGCTTGGCAAACAGGAAGTACAGACCTTGGGGATTCTCAAAAATCAGTGGGCCTGCTTGAACAGGAAGGCAAAAACAGATAGGGGGCCGGGGCATTGACACTTGTTGGCTCTTGTTGTTAGGAAGGTGCCTCCACGTTCTGCTCGTTCGGAGGTGCTTTGAAATACAGAGTACAGACAAGCAGTTGATTGGATTTGAAAAAGCATAAAAAAGGTACGTAAGGGCAAGGGCCCTTAATAATGACATTTTTACATTCGCGGTGACCTAGGGATTTGGTGCGAGCACGCTTCAAAGTGCGGGTTTGCAGTTTGCAGGATAATTTTTGGAGTTCTCTTGCCATCAGCGCCAACACGCTCCAGGCCTGGTAGGAGCAAAAGGAAATCGTCTTTGGCAATCGATGAGACTCGAAAGCCTTTAATTATACATGGTTGTCTTTACTGGTAGCCTTTTACTACTAGGAGCAAGGACGCTACTAGGGGCTCCTGGCATCGCTACTAGGAGCAAGGATGCTAGTAGGGCTCCTGGCCTTACTACTAGGAGCAATGTTCGCTACTAGGAACAAAGGGCATGGTTTGCTGTGATTTGCAGGTTGAGTGTCGTGGCATGTTGGGTGTGGAGATTGCAGCTATTGACGCCACAACTTTCCGCCTAACCTGCTTGTCAAGGTGCCGGGATGTATTGTCAGACATAGAGTCGTACAGTCAAACACGTGGCAACCACCATTGTGCCACAAGAGGCGTCAGCGATCTGATGGACGAATGTCAGCCCAAGCCTTTGTTTGTTGCCATATAGATTGAGCATGAGATGCTGGGAAGGAAGGCGATGAGTGTGGGATGATTCTGGCGCTGAATATATCTGAACATGATACTTGTAGATACTTGAAGCCTATTACCTTAAGAATATTCCTTTATTGACCTGACCTGACCATGCAATATCTACTGTCTGTTTTGTTGTTATCTCTCATTGTGCTGAAAAGTAATGCTGCATCCGTTACCTGCACTTTTTCAGAAAGGGGTTGGACATTGCCACACTATACACGCGGTTCGAAAAGCAACATTACATCCGATTCCAATGAGGGTTATGCCAAATTGTTTGAGCGAAAGAAGCGGCTATGTCTATGTAATATGGGCGTCGTCAATCATGTGTTGCGCTAGAATTATATAGATTCTAATTTGACTTAATTCTAATAGCAAACATTGTTACTAGTAGCTTCTTGTTTCTAATAGCTTCTTGTTCCTAGTAGTAAGGCACTTGTTACTAGTAGCGATGCACTTGTTACTAGTAGCGCATAATGTAAGCCATGGTCGCATCTTTGGGATTTCTGCCGGACTACACTGCACTGCATGTTGGGTCTCTGCGCAGAATAGTATTTTTCTTGTTGAGGATTCCAAGTCATCAAATGTCCTTCTTGTGTTGGAAGTGTAGTGCCTCTCCTTTGCTTGGGCTTGCAAGGCTTCCCAACAAGATGATAGTTGGATGCTTTCTTTCTGCCGAGGTCCTTCCCAACCTGGAACCATTCGTTGAATGGCTTCAAACTGCACTAGGCCAGCGTTCTTTTACGAGGGCGTTGTATCGAGTACTTGAGTTGTACAAACCAGCAAGCTGCCCCTTGCTTTGCAGGAAGCCCTACACCTGTTCCGACATGCCAAGCTCCAAGTCTGATCCAAGAACCTGCAGTTGAGCTCTCACCAAGCTTTGGAAGTTGCAATGATTCTCGTGGAGAGTTCCTTGAAGCATGAAACCTGTGTGTGATTGCAGTACAAAAGCAATGTTGGGTCGTTTTGTTTCTCTGAGTTGATGGAGATGCACCTGGCCGTACCTTACGCATTCCAACGGGCTCCCTGAAACGAAGCCGAGAGCTGAATTTGCATTGAGCTTTGAGCTTTGAGTGTGAAGTCAGCATGAGCCACGGTGGAGGTTTGTCTCCCTTGTGGACTTACGTGCGGATGTACCTGACTCTTCTGCAGCTCTATCTGATACAGCGCAGAACAGCAAGTGGCATGGCAGAATGTGAGTGAAGGCTTGCGACTTCCAACAACTTTTAGAATTGGGCGAATAGGAAGGTGTGTGTGTGGTGCTTGGGACACTTAGCACCTCTTGTTCAAGGTGAGAGCCGTTGCGAAATACAACCAACAAGCCAAGCAGAATGGCCATGCTGGGTGGACCGGCAAGAATGATTCCGGTTTCGTTCGAGTCCGGCAGACTGCATAGTTTGTTTGCTACAAGCATCAAGCTTGTGGAGATGTAATTCATGATTCATCATGCTTCATGCAGACATGGCAGATCGTGGCCGCCAGGTTCGCCTCCAGACCAAGATGCTGGATGCTGCGGTGGGCTTCACATTGGTGACTGAGGCTCCCTCATGACCCACATGATGCCTTCAATTTTCAAGGATTGTGACGCAGAGCGAAAATTGACATAGGTCCACCATATTCCTATGCTGTTGCTTCGGGCCGCTTCGGGTACTGTACTGGATCGTCACCACCGATAAGTTGCTAGTTGCAAGTCTACTTTAGACAGCGCCGACAATGCTATTGTGTTTGTTTTTCTTCGTTTTCCCTTGAGTACAGTAGAATGCTAGAATCTCAGGCCATGAAACCTTAAACGCAGCATGCAGGTGGAAACAGAGGAGGCGCGCAGCAAGCGGCGACGCTTGGAGGCTTTGGTAGCCAGTACAGTTCGGTGTGGTTTAGGTGCTGCTGTGATATCAAACAGCCCTATAGGTGCCCAAAATCATGCCGCAACTCCACTTCTTCTGGGGACAAGGCTCGAAATGGGTCTTCCACAGCTTTTTGTGATCAGCAACACCAAGAATCCGACTAATCTCTGTTCCTCCAGGCAGCGACGAAACGAAGGACTTGGTATTGTGAATGTTTTTTTGTGCCAAAGCCGTTGGGCAAAGTGCCAGGATGTCCTTCAGCGCTTTGAAGCGTTCTTCAAGCAGTATTTGGCTCCAAAGAGGACTCAATAAGTCCGAACCAAGAGAAAGATCCTGCAGGGATACAACATGATAGACGGAGAAAACTTCAACATCGGCACAAAAGGCCGTGTTAAGATGCCAAGCTGCCAGGACTGAGGGAAATGCTGCGAACTTAAATCCCAGGCAGATTCTTGGCACGTGTTCAAACAGAGAAATCTTATCAGTATGAGTTTTATTGTGGCTTCCAAAGGTCGTTGCAGGTGTCCTTTGTCTTCTGAGGCTGAGCCAAACTGGGAGAAGCTGCGAGTGTCACGTCTCCATCCGCAGCTGACTCGGTGTGATCAGACTGACAAGATTGAGCAATTCAGCATGGCACTCTTGTTGTTTACAAATGTTGACAATATAGCACTCTTGCTCATGACAAGGCATGGTAAGTGTGAGACCAGTGGCCGAAAGCAACATCTGTATACATCTGTGTTTGACAATCATGGACCTAACCTAACCATTGTCGTGCTTTGTTGTGCTTGGGCTTGGATGTCGGGAAAGGCTTCTTGAGCTCCTTCACGCGTGATCCCAGACATGTGTTCTGACGAGGGCATGTGGACACCGTAGATGCTGAACATGTCGACAAATTGCTGACTTCCGTTATTTGTAGATTTGTTTTATGTAGCTTTGGCACTCCGATGTCGCAGCGGCATTCATCTTTCTAAAGATTTAGACTTTTCTGTTTGTTCTTTGCATTTTCTGTTTTCTCTACAGTCCATCTCATGACAGGCCGCGAGTTTGGATGCTGAGGGAGATTGTCCGACTCTTGCCTCCGCTCTGGACTGCTGGGTGCCCAGGTGCAAATGAACCGATATAGAAAGAAGAAAACCAAAGAAGTTTGCACAGTATACATCAGTGCTCCGTTGTTTACCAGTAGCTTCTAGCTACTAGTAGTAATGCCCTTGTTGCTAGTAGTGATGCCCTTGTTGCTAGTAGCTTCCTACAAGTGTACATCAGTGTACATTGACATCCCTTACCTAACAAGTCACCCCTGCAATAGCTTCGAAAATCTCATTTGTGGTCCTGATATAGTTGCCATAGCAGACAGGTTGAATCTCCCAATGAGTTGGTGTATTACATGTATAAATAAATACATATATATATATTAGTATATATTGGCATATATATATAATATATATATTGTATATATTAGAACTATATATATATATAAAGGCACACACACACAACCACGCACGCAAATTTGCTGTTTTTATTGCTATTTTGATTGGTTGTTATATTTGCTTATCAACCCAGGTGGCAGCTGGTCGCAACGGCGAGGCCAAAGGCGCTGCTCTTCGAACAAAGGAGTGCTTTGAATTTTTGGAGAATGGACAGACGCAATGTTATCGCTGAACCCTTCTTCTACCCTCTCGTAGGCAAGAGTGTTAACAACCTCACAGTGCACCCAAACTCACTGAAATGGTATGTTGTTACCCCTGCTGGATTACATCACCTAAGCTGGCAGCTGGCATCATGGTCCTTCACCCGAGACAAGCATTCTTCATATCTAAGAGGCTCACAATGTCATGATCGACTGCATTCAAATTAGATTCAAATCACCAGCGTCTCATACACAAGTTGCTGGTGTGCCAACTTTGACATTTAGTCAGGCTCTGTGCATAGTGAGTGGCAGCCTTTGGCAGGGATGCCTTGATAACATCCAACAAGGACTTGATGAGATCTGCACGGAACAACACGATAACAATTGCATTGCATTTCGGTCATTTTCTGACTGTGAAGCTCCAAAACAAGGTCGAGCATTTCAGCTTGCGGCACGATGGCGCAAACCAGGCAGCGATATTTTTGCTTTTAATCATCCGAAAGAGTTGTACTTCCTTAGGCGGCACAGCGTTGGGATTTGACGCTTGTGTTGGATTCTACCAAAGGCCAATGCCATGAGCCAAGCCATGTAACATCATGTGACAATTCAGCCGTTAGATGCTAGTCATACTGGCTTTGACTTGGAAGATGCCTGTAGCATCGCTTGCCTACTGCAGCAAGTGTTGTGGGCTCCAGAATTTCAAGGTCATATTGGCCTAATCACAACGCTTCGAAAAGGCAGAGACAATTGAGAATTGATTGGATCAGCAAGATGTTTCTAGCTCAAGTGATGCCAGGCACCTCCCAGGCTGGAATGTGAAATATGTGGAATTCCAAAGCATGCCAGACACCTCCTTCAGTCATTTTGCCGAAAACCAATGCCAGGTTCAGGGATGGGAGCAGGTCGTTGTGGATGGTCAGCCCTTTCAAAAGTGGCTGCAAGCATGTCCTCCGACTTCAGGTGCTTTCAGTGTGCATTCGTTGTGCTTGCCATATTTGTTCTCAGACACTTTGACAGCTTGGAAAACCTCCTCCTTCCACAGGAAAGGTCCTAAAATTGTGGACCGACGCTGCAAGTTTGAGCACACCTGACTGGCTTGCCCTACCACCGGAAGGATCGACATATTTGTTGAGCATGCTTTTGGACACCATATGCCAGGTCAACCATATTGGTTGAAAACATTATTGCCCTCAATATTTGATATTCTTATCCATCGCAATGAACAAAACAAAATTATATATATATAAACAAATTGTATTTTTTTGTTCGGATTTTGCTTTTGCTACTTTTTTGTTTTTGTTGCCTTTCAGCTTTTTGTGTTTTTATATTTCTGCTTTTTGCTTTGTTGCTTTTCTGCTTTGGTAGTTGTTTTGTTTTCTTTTTGTTTCTATTTTTCCATTTGTTTGTTTTCGAACCTTTGGATTTGGGGTGTTGTTGGGGGGGGGGGCGTAACGTCCCGAACCCCCTTCCCGCATTACGAAATTTACATTTGATTTCCGATATCCGTATTTAATACGAAATTAATATTTTAAGGTAAACTCCCGGGGCAAAAATTCTAATTAATCATAAATATTTCTTATGTTCGTTCTTTTTTTTTTATTGTTTCTTTGTTAATTGCATTAAATTATTGGGATAGATAGGAATTTGTTTAATATTTTGTTTTAATATATTTTATTATTTACGATAAATTTTAATTTAATTCTATTAATTTATAATTAATATAATATTTGCATTATTCTAATGCATTTGGCTAGTTACGATATTTATGGGTCTATTTAGGACACGAAATTGCTATTAAGTAAAATACTTGTTCTATTTAAATGTTATTGACAAAAATCTAAAAAATATAAAACATACAGGTTAATGATGTATTTTTAATTATGAAATCTTTATATAATATATATATATATATTAAAATAGATAAAATAAATGAAATTACAATTTTTTTATGGATTATAATTGGAAATTATTAATTTTATATATAATTTATCTGATTTATTTTTATCTAATAATTTGTTAAGAAATCTATGGGAATAGAAATAGGAATAATTGTAATCGTAGTGGCGATAATAATATTATTGTAATATAGTAACGATGGTGTTTTTGATGATTGGATTAGTCGTAATTTTATATAAATATAATTATAATAGGAAGAATAATGGTAATTATATAAATATAATGATTATATATTTTATAATAATAATAATAAATATAAACAATAATTATTATTAGAAATAATAATAAGAAAATTAAAAAAAAAAAAATATTTTTATAATAAATACGATTAAAACATAATAATAATAAATTATAAATAAATATTAATTGTATTTATTAGGTAATAAATTGAACATAAATATATTGTATATTATTAAATTTTGAATTTATTTGTTTAAATAGGAAAAACTATATACATTATTTTTTAATATTTATTTATATATAAAAAATATTATATTTTATTATTAAATATATTATGAAAGGCATTCGATAGGTCAGGCTTGAATTTTAAAACCGAACGAAATGAATTGAGGATATGGGGGGAGGGCGCGAAAAGGCATTATTTGAAAGGATGAATTCGGAATTTGATGGGGAGAACGTTTTAAAGCGAGGATTAGGAATTTTTAATGGGGTTTGATGATACAAATAATGCAAAGAATATCGAATAATGCATAATTAAAATTGTGAAGGGGTTTGGAGATAATTTTTCTAGTTTTGAATAAGTTCTCTGGGAGCGAATGATATGAATATATTAAATTGGGCGAGGTAGAGATTTGGAAATAAAAGTGCCGTAGGAGGAGAAGCAAGAAAATTATAAGGATTTAATATTTTATGTTATATTCCGATTTTCATCTACATCATAATGATATCAATGACACGAAAAAATGCAATCATTCAAGAATGAATATTATCAATTTTTTTCTTCTAGTCCTGTTTTTTTTAGAATTTCATATTGATATACAATATTCGAAATATATTTCAAAACAATAAAAAATCATCTTTCGAATATCCTTCTCTTGGTCGTCACTAATATTTATTTTTATATGGATTCTTAGATAATTCACCAAATAATAATGTTCCAGAGAGCACCGCGCCAAGAAAATCGAGAACATCTAAAATATTTAATATTTTTTGCTTAATCTACTCCACATTGATATAAATTCCACGAAAGCTATAAATATTCAACAATCAGTGTTCCGCTATTTTTTCCTCCCAATTTTGCACTACCATATTAATCTCGTATTGATTTTCGTCGTCTCCTTTCTCAGATTTTGTTATTTTTATTAATTATATTAATAGAGAATATTATCATAAAAATATATTATAGATTTTTAAAATATATTATATTTTAGATATTAATTCTAAATTATATTACCGAATGATAATATAATATAGATATAATATTAATATATATTAATAATATAATAGATATATTTATATATATCTATTATATTTTAATACAATATTAGAAAAAAACGATCTTTCTTTAATTTAAATAAATATTTTTTATAAAAATAGAAACATATAAATTATTTTTGTATAAAATATGTTAATAATATATTATAAATATATAGATTTAAATATTATATTATATATATTGGATATATAAAATATTTAAATATAATATATATTTAATAAATATATATAATAAATATATTATTAATTTCATTAAATATATTTTTTATATATTTATATATATTAATAGATTGAATATATTTTTATATCAATTATATATTTATTAAATTAAATTATATATTTATATATTCAAATGATAATATTTCGATATATCGATTCTATATTATAATTATGAATTTTATGGAATATGATTTTATCTATAGGCAATTGAAATTTTTGTCTTAATATTGGGAATTCTTATCGGATAATCATTAAAATCTCCATTTGATATTAATAATTATATCTAACACGCATTTAAACAATTATATTGTTGTTATTATATATTTATGGGCAATATTTGAATATTATGGATGTATATTTATGATTATATTTATGATTTTTATATCTATATTTATGATTCATATATGATCCTAATAATCGAATGATGGAAATCATCCAATATCTTCCTCAATTGCTTCTCAAGGTTAGTGTTTCGAGCCATGGCTGCAATTATCCATGAGCTTGATATGATATTGGTTGCACATGCATTGGTATTTGCAGGTTGTAAATTAGAAGGGGCATTGTTCCTATGCGGCTTTATATTCCCCAAAAATAACCAATCAAGAGATGACGATGAAAAACATAATAATAAAGATAAATCGAATGAAGCAATAAATCAAAAAGATCAGAAAATTAATGAAGAAATAGGACCAGAAAAAGAGGATCATAACATTAAAGACATCGAAGAACAGGAAGAAGAAAAAATCAAATCCGAAGAAGAATTTGTAATCAAATATAATCCAATAAATGAAGACAATTATATATTTGTAAATGTGGTTACGGTTGTGTTTGTAATTATGTAATTGTGTTTAAGGTTTGTGATTGTGATTATATATTTGTGGTTGTGTGTTTATTTTTATCTATTCATTATTGTATTTGTGTAATTTGTATATTTATATTTGTATTTTATATTTTTTTTATTTATAAATTATTAATTATATATTACATATTTAAAACTTCTTAATATATATTAAATATTAATAGAAATTATTTATTTTTAATCGATAATATTAAATTATAATAGATATTGTTTATTCTTAATCGTCATTTTTTATTTTTAATAAATATTGTTGTATTTTTAATTATACTAGATAATATCGGAATTTAGTTTTTTATTTTCGATTGCAGAGATAGAAGACGTTATTTGATCGTAGTCGCAAAATCGCAATAGATATCGGGCTTTAACGGTAAATACTAAATTACAATGCTTATTATTAGATCCCAAAAATATATTAATATCCATAATTCAATATATTCATTATATTTTACTATCAATATTCTATTAAAATAATTATTGTTTAAAATAATTCAATTTAATAATATATTTTAATATATATCTAAGATAATATATATTTATATTTTATCCAAATCGCGAAATTTATCGTCGTTATATATATATATATTAAATATATATAATTTTCGATATAACGATCTTTTAAACATATATTATCAAATATTTAAAATATCTATTTAAATATTACTAAGACATTAATAAATCGAATAATATCAATATAATATTATTACGTACATCTTAATAAAAAAAAAAAAATCGATCGGAAATTGGTTGCCCATTCGGAATACCATTTATAACGTCAAATGCGATCTGGCACTTATTATCAGATCTAGGAACGCCCATTGCGATCCGGCATTTGCTATTGAAATCCGGCAATGCCCATCGCGATCTAGCATTTGCTATTAAGATCCGGGGCTATGCATTACGATCTAGCAATTACAATTAAAGCTAGAAATACCCATTACGATCTGGCGCTTGTTATTAAAGACCAGGAATGACATCACAATCCGGCATTTGCTATTATGCCCGTTACGATCTGGTACTTGCAATTAAGATCGATAATCTAGAATTTAATACTAAAATCCGAGATATATATATATATATATATCTATATATCCATTTTAATCTATATATATATGCAAATCCAAAAAATATTCATCTATAGAGTTAAAATATGGCCCTTGTTGCCGACAATTAAGGTAAATCCACAGGATTTTACGTATTAAAATCCAACCAGACCAAGGTCTAAGGTGACTTTCTAGTTTTTCAGCGGTGCCCTAGGATTTTTCTCAAGAATTGCTTAACGTGCCCCAGAGGGTTGGGAACCAAGGAAAAACAAAGGTCCGGGCTGATCAAATCCTTAATCAAGTCCTGGGTATCTACCTTAGCTGGTCCCTCCAGTGCCCTCCCAAGCCCGCAATCTTATGTTGTATATACAGCGTGTGTTTCTATCAGCCGAGAAGAGACTGCAAGCAAATGCTGCAAAAAGTAGAATTGACGACAAACACAGCCACAGCATAAGGTTGACAAAAACTGTCCACGAAAAGCATCCTCTCCAGTACCTCTAACTTGTGAAATCCTGCGGCTTTAGTGAAATCCTGTAGTCTAACGTGTTTTTGGAATCCTGGCGCCTACATGTCTTGATACCTTGGGCAGGATTTTTCAAAGCCCCATTTCTGCTGTACGGTAATTTCCTGGGGCCCTACCTGACGTCCTTTTTTTTAAATAAAGAACCTGTTTCTTTCTGAAACCTGGTGGACTACCCCTAGGATTTCTGTATGGTGCAAGCAAGGTCTATGTTATAATCATGAATCATTTGATCATGAAATATTCTGAGGTTCGTCTTTGACGATATTTGCTGCACGGCGCCTTAGTGCATACATTTCAGACTTGATATGCTGAATCCAACATGAAACTTACAAACTTGACGTAGGTATCCAGCTGCTTCACGCCATTGTCCTTTAAGCGCTTCCGCATCTTCTTCCTTCCTTTGCACATCGGCAGCGCTGACTGTGTGACGTACTGATTCTTACGCACGGAGCGGCAACACAGCTCAGGCAATCTTGGGCTGTCGGACAAACACATAAAGGATCATAACAGTATAACCAAAAGCAGCACTGCTCTTTCTTGCCATCAAAGCAAGCAAGTTTGTGTTGCACGAAATGGGTCTGGACCCACAACAGCAATCTTTCACACCCTCCCTTTCGGAGGGTGCGTCTGGGAAAGCATTAATCATTAGCTGGCAAAGCACACTACCTGCATGGAATTGACTCTTGGCCAACTTTCAAGGTCTGGAAGGCTTTCTTCGTCTCAGAACCTCAGCTTGGTAGCTTGAGTTGTTTCTGGCAGGCACCAGCATGAATCAACAGCATGTAAGGGCCCTTCCATCGCGGGAGGCTACAGGTCTTGCCGCCCATCTGCGGAAAATAGCGTGGCACTTGTTTCTACTAGCTTCTTATTACTACCAGTAAGGCACTTGTTACTACTAGCGATGCACTTGTAATTACTAGCAAAGGAACAATGCATTTTGGCAAATACAATTTAGTGCTTCATTGCTGATTGCTGAAACACCTGAGAAGACCTGCGCAATGGCGTCCTGGTGAGGTTTCTGCGTCATTCACCCTCATGCATCCATCTTGTTCAACTTGTTTTACTACGCGCCCCTTCATTTTTCATTTCTGTCCTTTTGCTCTGGTGTCAGCATCTTTGGGAACTCGACCATTACCTCCGCCAAACTCAACTTTCGGGAAACATAAAGATCAAGCACACGGCACACGTTCTTCAAGGTGGTGCGCCTTCACATGCAAGTCACCAAAACTTGCCGGATCGTCTCGCAACGGCATGCCCTTACCTCGAATTTGCACAACCTGTGGCCCAACAGTAGAACTCCAAACATGTCAAAGTCTACATACAGAACGTGCAGTTAAATCTTGAACGCACTCACGCTTCTCATCTGCTCTTTCTGCTGAATGCTATCTTCAGAACTTCAATACCTGAAGGCCTGAAGGTGCTTGGTGACGTCCACCTGCTTCACTTCAACGCTGTGTCCTGGTCCGAAATGTTCACAGGACAAGAGTTGTTGGTACCTACAAGCCAGTGCCCTGTCATGACAGATTGGTCTGCACTTTAGCAACCCTTTCCAAACAAGTGGTTTCCAAAACGCCATTATGCACATGACATCACATGGCCGCCCCTCACCAGTCCATCCAAGTGAGTGATGGTGCGAGACCACCCAAGAAGAGATTCCTTCAGACTTATTGTCAAGTCCTCGGTGTTGGGCATTCCCTGTCATCATGACAGTTTGCTTTTGTGCTTGACGATTGCAGTGCTCACTTCATTCATGTTATATATGTTTTTGGACCTTTGTATAAATGCTTCACATGTGCCCAATCATTCACAGTTAATAAGAAAGTATGATTGCGTCTTATAGTAGATCCTTGTCAAACTCTGTACATCACCGAATCACTTTAAGTGAATTTCGGCCTCGCTTCTCTTTCTTGTGCTAATGAACCTGTGGGCTATGATAATTCTTTCTAGCCTGTTGCTGTGGAATGGGGATGGCTTGACTATGTCAGAAAGCCCGCCTTGATAGGTGGCCTTGCTGCAAAAAGCGTTAACAAACCCGACAAAACACTTCAATCCCCAGCCGAGACCGGTGCAGTGTGCAAATCGTTCCCATTCCGCTGGAACTTGGGATGCTTCCTGGCCTTGAGGCGTGCAAAATTCAACAAACATGCACTGATCGTGAACCTGCCACCCGCAAAGGACAACATAGGCGGGCAACAAGCTATGCCAGGATCAAGGAGACCGTCGGGACCACCATTTGGTTTGGGCCAATGCGCCAGGGAATGAAACACAACTTCAACATCTGTCAGAAACATCTTGCATCATCTTGCCGAACATCTCTGCACAGCATAAGCATCTAAATGCAAAGTCAGCCATCTAAAGGTTATCCAAAGGTTAAAGACCTTTCGCTGAGTGAAAGGGCTGACTTGACCTGATGGCAAAAAACCATCGGGCGGACTACTTCGAGAAGCAGGCGCATGATGAAAAGAAGGGGAATCAAAGTGGTGTGGCCCTCACGGTTCACCATCGGTAAATCTGTAGCCATTCACTTCTTGGGAAAGTCAATGCTGCCAAGTGTTGGCGATGTAATGTACGATGGTGGTACCTTGAAGTTCTGAAGCCAGGTGAACAAATTGTTATCGTTGTTGAAATCGCTCATGCTACCTGTGCTGGTATAGTGGTGTTCCTGCATCACTGGTTGTACACATAGTGAAGTGATCTACTACATTTTGATATGTTTGGCCCTAGCTGCTGCGCTGCTGGTGAAGCAGAACGCTGCCGGTGGCACAGTAGTAGATGAGATGTGTTCTCTTCACAGGCTCTTGTTAGTGCTGGTGGTGAGACCTGACTTCATTTCTGGTGTGGTGCTGGTTTGGCTTTGAGGTGAAGCGGTTGGTTGGTTCTTGCCACTGGGAAAGCGGGAGACTCTTGCCGCAGGTAGGTAGATCTGTACGGCTGGCGAGTAGTGAAAAAGAACTGTCCATGTACTGAAAACTCCCCCAACACAAATACTTCGACTTTGTTGAACGACTGTCCATGTAGTGAAGACTTGTGCAATCGGGCAATCATCTTTTAAAACAAATGAATAACAACAGTAGTAAATGACAAACGAAATGTCATAAACCTCACCGTAGCCTACAGTGCTTTGAGCTCTGTCAGGTCATCTGGCCTTGAGCTTCAGAATGACACTTCCAGGCAACATCCCTGGCCGTTCCTGAACCGCGTCAAATGCAACTGCAAACGATTGCAAGAAGTTCGGGGTGGAGTAATACCGTAGAAGAACAGTCCACCGAATTCAGCTTGGGTGTGTGGCAAACTCTCGAGCACACCATGAGCTGTTGAAGTTACGCAACTCGATCGTATTTCGGCTAAGCTGAAGCTTGACGAACCACATTTGATCGCGTTTGATCTGGTGTAGTCTCTGGCTCCCTGACATGTCGTGCAAAAGGGCGGAAAACCGAAAAGAACAAAGGAGCAAAGGGGCAAAGTTGATCTGGTTCGCCTCCGCCATCCTGGGAAAAGTGACCGTGTCGCCGCTGCTCATGCCTTTCCTCAGATGGGAGGTTCAGGATCTTGAACGAATAAAAAATCCACAGTGCCCAGTCGCGAGTGCTTGCAATGCTGGGTCTGGAGTGCAAAAAAGTGTCTCAATGTGAACATCCAAAGGCGCATCAATCTCCTTGCACTTTTCCTGGCTCTGTGCGGATCCAAGACACACATAAAGCCAAATGTTTGCATCTCATTCTTGTGGCAGGGCATCCAATGGCATTCGTACGTGTCCTCTGACCCCCTGCAACCTGATTTAAGTATCATATCTCCGAAGTTCCAGGGACAAAACATTCAATGGATTTCAATGGCTTTGTTTTGGGCTTCTTTTTTTTAAATAAGGCTCCTTTGCACAGCTACCTTGAGGCTTTGTTCACATGTCAAGTGATTGTGAGTTCGTTTCCAAGGCTTTCACCCATGATTTGCAAACAATATATTCAATCCTTGTAATTGAATCCTTGCTTGATGCCTTTTCTATCGAAGTGGAGTTAAGGAACTTTGCGGGTGATGGGGCTGCCCTCTCCAACTTGGCTCTCAGGTCGGCCCTGCGTAGTTGCGGTGAGGAAAGCAATGCAGAATTTCACGTCAAGGCGGAGGCTGCAACCAAGTTCCACCTTATAACACAAAGTATGCCTGGTCAAATCACCAACGATCACAATGGATCACCACAAATCACCAAATCAATGATCCCACAAGCACCCAAACCAAAATTTGGTTCTGCAATGTTGTGCAACCACTAGAACTTGAACCGCAACAAGTTGCCCAAAAAATAGCACCGACTTCTCGACAAATGCACCCCAGCAAGCGGCTGCATCTTGTATCGTCTTGTAAGTTTCTGCCCTTGTTGAGAAGCTTTCACCCCACAGCTCCGCTGGATCGGATCATGCTGGTCACTAAATATGTAGATCAGAAGCTTCCAAAACTATCAACACTGAAACAACTATTCAAATGTATGTGCAAATGGGAGACGGGCAAAAAACAGATGCATAGGCGTGGATATTGAAGGGATTGTGAAACTAGTATGTAGAGGGTGCATCCCATGCCGTGCTTTTGGAGGGTTGTGCGAAGGTCGTGCGACCTCGGGTGGTGTAGAGGGGATCTCCACGACGTTGTCGCTCCCGGCGGTCTTCCCACGACTGCTAGGTCTTCAGCTAGTTTCATGATAGCCGCTAGCCCAAATGAACATCCGTATCGAGGTCTGCAACTGATTAACCCGCCACGGCAGGGCTGCGTGAGGTGCGCGCTGGGTTTCTGTGGGCCAAAGTCAAGTAGAATCTCTCAACATGCATTGTAATGACTGCTGAGGTAAAGCATTTTGAAAACAAATACGGAAGTAGGGAAAGTATTACATAAAGTAAAGATTTGGAAAAGCATCAAACGCCACGTAAATGTTCTACAGCACACGTCAACCACTGCGAGACTACAATACGAGTAGAAAAAAGTAGAGACCACCACTCACAATTCACCACACCACATCAACGCATTGTACTACACAACACAGATCAGTGCACCAACGAATCCTTCATACTTTAGCTTAGCTTCAACGAGGTGTGATAGCGGGCAACATTCCAGAGGCAGTCTATCAAGACTCAGTGCTCGACTCTCTAGCGCTCTAAGAATGGTTTTGAAGATGGCCCGGCCCAGCCCTGTTTCCTCAACAACCTGTTTGTTTCGGATCTTTAGAAAAACCATGTCAACTGTCAGTACTGTTCAGCTGAATCTTCGGATATTTCCCTCAACCGCCCTGGCCCTAGCCTTGCTAGGAACTTCTTGTTGTTGCTGGGTGAGAAATGGCCCCATTTGCACCTGAACTACCTGGGCCACCACTGCGCATGCAGTGGCACGTTCCACAAACCAAAGAAGACGCATGCTCCTGGTTCAAAGCGGACATGTTCACCTGTATGCTAAGAGCTGCACTTTGATTTGATTCTTACATTTCCGGCAGCCCTGACAGCTTCAATAGTTTCCCAATTCAAAAGCACAGTGGAGGTTCTTCAAGCAAGTCAAAAGCTTTGGGGTGGTGAACATGCAACGGTCGCCCTTCACTCGTTTTCTCAGGATGCGATGACTGCCATGCGCCTTGCAATTTGGAGAAGCTGGATTCTTGCGGCATCCTCTACACACCTCAGCCGCTGTGCCTGTTTGTGCACACACCCACAACGCATGGGTGGGTGGGTTGGCAACCTCAATGTGCAAATTTCCTGGTGGGCGCAGGATCTCGCAATGCAGGTCCGCCTCGAAGTGCAACTTTCGTGGCAGGCGCGGCGCTAGGCGGACCTGGAATTTTCAGCTTTCGTGTCAGGCGCAGCGCTAGGCTTACCTGGAAGTGCAGCTTTTGTGGCAGGTGCAGTGCTAGGCGGACTTCGAGTGCAGCTTTCATGGCAGGCGCAGCGCTGGGTGGACCTGGAAGCGCAGCTTTCGTGGCAGGCGCAGCGCTAGGCGGACCCGGAAGTGCAGCTTTCGTGGCAGGCGCAGCGCAAGGCGGACCTGGAAGTGCAGCTTTTGTGGCAGGCACAGCACTTTGCGAACCTCAAACTACAGACTTTCGTTGTGTCAATCGTAAGAAAGTCTTTGGTGCATTTGCTCTCTCTCTCTCTCTCGTGTGTGTGTGTGGCTCTCATACGCACGCTATCACATGAATGGGCTTTCTTGTCTGTGCTCCCATAGCTGTGCTCGTAAATAAATAGATAAATAATGATAAATATATATTATACATATCATATGTAATTGTTGTATGAATATACATATATTATATATATACTGCATATATATATATATTCATATTGTGCTGAATGTGGGTGCTGACTTGAAAAAGACGATCCGAGAAAGGGGTAGCGTTTGGAAAGGACATGTTCTATTCTGCAAGGGGCGTATATTACAGTGTTGATTCTGTTGACCTTCAAAATCTTCAAAGAACCAGCTTTTGTGGCAGGTGCCATGCTTTTGCAAAAGAAGTGCAGAATTCGTTGCACTAGAGGGGTTGTAGGGGAGGGCGCAGCTGTATTTTGCTGGGTGTGTATATAGTGGCGTGTATATATATATATATTATATATTAGGTTGAACTCCGGAGATTCCATTTTTTCGTGACAGGCATGATGCTTTGGAAGAAGTAGGGCAGACTTCGCAGTGCTAGGGGAAGGGTGCGGGGGCGGGCTTGTGCCGGGCCCCAGAGCAAAGCAAAAGCGTCAAAACACAAAAGCAAATTCAACGATGCACGGGGGAAAGCCAATTTAACGACGCACGGGGGCTAATTCAAAATCCAATCCTTGCAATGGTTTCGGGCAACTCGCAAAAAGTCAAGAAAAAAGGTTCCGCGACTCTTTGCAGAATGCGCGAAACACCCCAAGACCATTAACTGATGCCCATGGCACACACTTGAAGGACCAAAAGGCGGGAGAGAAGACCAGCGGACTAGGGGACCAGCGCAACAGGAGATCAAGCACCTGCGGAACAAAGGACCTGGCCGACTAGGGGATGCTTTTTGATTCTGTCATGTTGTATCGGGCGGGGGTCCTGTTATATAAAGATACAGTATTAAAAAAACAACGTTTATCTTTATCTACATGCCGCGTCCATGCACACAATGAGTGTTTTCTCCGGAAGTCACGGGTGCTTAAGGCGGCCACAACTCCTCTCTTCACCTGCGGAGTCCCAGTAGCTCGAAACTGTAGAATGGAACCAGCACTGTGTCGTCGAGACGGTCCAACGGAGTCCAACGTGTATCCAACACGGAATATCAGGAAGGGGAGAACCACAAATGTTGGCATTGATCACATGATCATGAACTTCAAGCATGAGCCTAAGAACTTCATCTCTTTCGAGCAAAATTTTGCTCCATCACGAGACCCAGATGGGCCTTTGCTTGGAACTGTTGACCAAGGTAGAGATCTTCAAGATTCACTTCAATTTCCTCAGTGAAATGGACAGAGTTGAGAGTTGAGCATGCGCACCTCAACCTGCCAGCAACAACGTGGCTGAATTCATGTGTTAAACTCTGAGGAACTGCCATCTTTATGTACCCTTAGTCAGGTGAAGCACGTCCAAGAGACTGAATTCAAATCACCCGTGGATTCAACCTTGCCCTTCTCGGAATCCTTCACGGCTGCCATGCCACCTGAAAACAATATAAAGAACAGTTTTGCAACTATAAACTATACAATTATACAGTTTTTTCAATTCAATCACGGTCAGTTCACAAAACTGCTGGGAATGTGTATGGACCTTGCCTGTGTCATATAGGATTTTCTTATCGGGATCGTTCAGGATTTCGTATGCGTCCCCTCAGTCCGTCATGTCAACGTGATTATGCTCCTCTCAAAAATGTCTGGTTGCCGCAGCTCAGCACAGCATGCAACATGCCCTGTGTCACTCCACGATTCTTCAGCCGATTTGAGCGCCAACGTGCCGCCAGGAGCAACCGCTACTTTTTCCAATAAGACTCGCTAGGGCCGCTAGGGTTTCAACTGCTTTTCACAGTGGACAGTAGGTGCGGAGAATTATACTATACTATACACGAGTGGTATCGAATTTCACACAGAGAATGTCTGGCTCCCTTCCAGTACCTTTAAAACATTCTGAGTCCTTGCAAGGTCAAAAGCCGTATGACCACGTGCATTTCGAATATGAGGATCGGCCCTGGCTCTCAGGAGAAACTCAGCATATTCATCCCCACCGTACAAGCATGCGAAACCAAGTGGGGTCGTGGTCCATTCCGCAAAGACTTGGGCGAGCAGTGATGAAGACCCAAGACGCATGCGAGCTCTGCTCAGCATTTCAAGAGACCAAAAAACACCTTTTGCCTTAGCCTGCAAATTTACATCAGACCGTGCTTCCAAAAGAAGCCTCGCTGATTCGAGGCAATGTGGATTTACGGCTGACCATCCTGCTAGCGCAGCAAGAGGCTGCGGGCTACAAAAGCCTTTGCTTTCTGGGTTCACCTCTGCCCGGTATTCAATGAGCTTGGAGATGACACTTGCCGGTGAAGACCTTGAACAACAAGCAGTTAATGGAGACACAAATGTGGGGCATGCTCTTTTGTTCACGTCTGCCCGGTGCTGGACCAGCAAGTCCACAAATTCCGGAGTTGCACAATGCGAGAGCGGTGAGAAGCCATGCTGGTTTGCTCTGTTAACATCTGCTCGAAACTGCAGCAATTTTGTCACAACTTCTGGACATCGCCAACCAATCTCAAGAGCAAAGTTGAGAAGAGAGCATCCATTCAAAGGTGCCAGGTCTATTTTGGCATGGACATTTCTGTTCAAATCAAATCCGTAGTTGGCCAGCAATGGAATCATTTCATGATCTCCAGACAGAATTGCGCACTCCAAGGGCCCGATGCCCTTGGTAGCTTTGGCCGATTGCAAAGAGCTGAAGCAAAAGTCCTGAAGAAATTGGTCTAAGCTTCTCTTCGCAGGAGGTAGGCCCAGCAAAGTTTCGCGCCTGGCAACTGTAAACCGATACATGTCCCATTTCCTTGTCTCTTGCAACGAACGCTTTCTGGCACGCAAAGCTTGTCGCATCACACGATCTATCTGAGTACGATCGGTGTTGATAGTAAATTCACCTTCATGAGGAGGACGATCTGCAAGGAACATGGAGGTGCAAAATTCGATTTCATCGATGTCTTTGATGACAAGGAAAGGTTGGTCAGACTTTTCACTTAAAAGCCGGCACCAAATCTCCAATCTGCACCAGCCTCGTGTGAGGTAGCTTCGAAAGTTGCACAACATAGCTGTATCAACATGATATCCTTGTGGCACCAAAGCAATAAAAATGTCAGACAAATCCACGTAGAAGGGGATTGAGCTGATGTAGAGTTCCTGCGTGGTAAGACTTGTGAGACTGCTGGAGCTTCTGCTTGGCTTGGGGTCCGTGCCTTGATCGGCTTCCATTTTTGCAACAGTTTGCGAGATTTCGATGTCTTCAACGGTTTCAATGGCATCCTGCGGGATGCAAAACCAGTCCAACCAAATGTACCCTTCTGCGATTTTCTTCTGCTCGAGGACCGACAGCTGACGCCTGTCACCATGAAACTGGGAGTGTGGGTCGCTGACGGGCTTTGCACGGCCTCTGATGAGGTTTTGGAGTGCTTGCTGAAGCACTTCGAGCTGTCGCAGAGTTGGATCTGGATGTGTGTGTCCAAGCCATTGGTGAGAGACAAACATACAATAGTGAGACTTGCTACGCTTTACTAGAAGCCCTTCCTTTAGAAGTTCTTCGTAGCTTGCCATGCGGTTCAATTTCATAAGATCTGACACCTTCATGACCCACATTGACATTGGGAGAGCCTGAGCGTGCTCCGCAGTCCTCTTTTGGAGATCCAAGTGGCCCACATGGCTTGCGCCATTTCCCATCGCCACTGACTTAGCAAATGGCTCTGGTGGCAGGGAGCAGGTTATGCAAATAGGTAAACAATCATAATATTGTATAACATTGTATAACTAACATGTCTGGCTAACATTGGCTAACCAAGTCTTTGCCGTGTGCATACGAATGTGACCCCGACCTATTGGGATTCGTAAGCGGTGCACTTATACAATCCGCCTCCAGCCGCCCCTGCCCTTGCTTGGGCCTAAACATGCATCAAACAGAAAGCCTCAGAAGGCCATGTCACAGCTGCCTGGACGCATAGTCACAGAACCTTCCAAGATCTGCCATGACACTGCAGCTGGCAAAGTGCCAAGAACTCTCCAGTCAAGAAATTTAGTTTTTTGCAGCGAAGGCTCGGATCTCCGCAAACTTCGCCTTCGACGCTTCATCCGGGTTTTTGTCCGGATGATACCTGTCCGGGTTTTGGATCTCTGCATGCCTGTGTGGCATTGGTCTCAGAACTTCTTTCCGAGCGGCTGAATGGACAATTTTCTATAGACCTGAGGCACAGCTCAGCTGACGATGAGTGATTGTACGATAGAACTTCGCTGTACATTGTACAGGCATAACTTGATGACACATACATCGCCTGAGAACCTGAGCCAGGCCTTTTTGATGGTCGCTTCATCTGAATCTTCTGGAATGCCGAGGACTTCATAAAGATCCTGCAGGAATGCAAGTCTTGCCTCAAAGCCGCTGCCTCAAGCTCTTCAGCTTTTGCAACCTTCACCCACTGCGATTTTTTGTTCCAAGCGGTTCAACTCGAGCAGGTGAATTCGACAACGTCAACGTCTTCACGAAGCCTTTACAGCACTTGCCCCATATTGTTCAAGCCTTGTCCAAATCTACAGCTTCATGGTCAAAAATCCGGTGGAACGTCAGCATCAATCGCCTTATTTCGAGAGGGAAGGCTTGTGCTACAATACATGGCATTTTCCCTGCCCATGCCTGCCAAAATGCTTCTTCGCTGCTGCCACGTTGCTCGCGCGAATTTCGTCTTGAATAGCCTGACTAAAAGTATCAAGTACAAAAACATATACAGTACAAAATTATGCAAACAAAACCCAGCTATGTGAACAAACGACTTCAACGTATTATAGTTACTATAACATACCAAACATGTAGTCATAGGTAGTCCACAGCATTTCAAATGGCGCATCCTGCCTCTAAGCCTCTGCCCTTCAAGCTTTGATGGCTTCGGGTCCTTATCAATCCCTTTCAATCACACAACCAGTGCAATCAACAAACTACCCTTGAAGGTGCAACAAAACAATAACCCAAAGACATGATTTTCGCGTCTCTTTCTGCCATGCTGCTGGTGCAACTAGCCTTGGACAAAATAATGGAAGCAACACTGCTTCTGCAAGGCGTTGCCTCTCATGCTTCATCTGCTTCATTCCCTTGCAAATGAGGCGCTCAAATATACCAGCACTGCCAATGAACAGGTATAGTTTGCCCTTTTCGGCTGTCCACTTGCAGCCGTGATGGCACCTTAAGTGACTGGAGTCATGGAGAATTCCGTAAGGTACAAACATAGCCGAACGTTTGGTGCATGCTTCAAAAAGAAACTGTAGGGATACAGTACCATGTTGTAGAATGTAGAATCAGCGCAAAAGCATGCAAAAGCTATGTGTTGAAGAAGTTGTTGGAGCTTCATACGCAACTCCTTGACAATACATAGGATCACTGTATGAGGCATGCTCGAAGGAAGCGTACAATGAACAACTCAGCGCATGATGGTATTCGTATGCTCACTGTGTAGGTTGTGTCATGAGATTTCTAGAGATTCCAGTACAATACATTCAACAAAAGTGCAAAAACACATGATATTGTCTCTGGAAAAAATCATCTCTTGAGCAGATCGTGGCTAGCTGTTATTGCTCCGGGATGAACAGGCGCAATAAGTGGATTCTGCCTGGACAAATTCTGCCATCAAAAGTTGTTCTGTCCAACCTGCCTGCTTTCAGTTCAAACAGGTCACGTGCAACTCCACATACTTACACATTGAGCCCACTATAACATTGGCTCAATACCATTTCAATGAACCGCTCATGATAGCAAAATTACAAAACATATGCAACAAAAAAACACTCAGAGTCAAAGTTTAGTTTCACGGATTTCATAGCGCGAAGGGAAGTGTGACGGAATGATTGATGCCAAACAAAGACGGTCGAGCTACTTTGCCACCATACCGACACCACCAAGGATGGTAGGGCTTCTGCCCTCAAATGGCTGATGAGAGCACTGCTCCATGGCTTACAGTACATTTAAGGTGTCTTCGGTTGTCTTCCTATTGTAGCTGCAACAGTTCCATGTGGCTGCTGGGGCCCCAATCCCACACTGTGAGTCTGATAGCCTTGCATGCCATGGCAACGCTGCCACTGGGCGACTACAATTATACACTCACTGCTCATACTACGACTCTTGCTGTCCTCTAAAGCCTGCCTTTGCGCCCCTCCCCCAAACTCGATACCCTATTAACTCACTATGTTAACACACCAGCTTATAACTTAATAAAAACATAGAAACTGTTGCCAAATGCAAGAAGGTCTCTGCTGGATGGGCGCTTCAATCTCTTGATCGCGTGTCAGTTTGAGTGTAAAGCCATCGTTGTTCCACTCCCACTCCTGGGGCTCTGCAAATAAAGAAAGTTCAAGCTAAAGTTGCATTGAAAGAAGCAGGCATGTCATATTTGTCAAAGGGTTTCTGTGTTGTAGCTGCTATATAACTCTAAGACAGGCCACAGTGCCCTTCAACCAGGACATGGACTTGGACACCTGCATCTCAAAGAGTCCCAAATGCAGCGTGACAAGAAGCCATGCTGCACCTCATCCGATACACCTGCAGGCCACTCTACAGGATCAGGACCTCGTCTGCCTGGGAAAGACTTGTGACATTCATCAGTAGGGTGTCAATGCAATACCCCCCAGCGTTTGCAAGCGAATGGCTCTGAACACTCTGACAAACCACTTAGTGCCTCCACCCATCTCGAAATGAAATGCTTGTCCACCTGGCAGGTGTATGCAAGCATGCACGGCAGCATAGCACGCATGACATTGGCAAAAGGGCATACTTTCTGCAGCTATTGTTGGGCTGTTCGGAGCTTCACTGACCTTGGCGAATTCCTGCAGGTGTTCCCCGCTCCGTTGAGGTTCATCCATTGGAGCGCATGCAAATGACACCTGCCTCCCCCAAAAAGCTCCTCGAAGAACGCGAGGGTTGGTGTTGACCACAACCTCAACACTCAAGACATTCATTTGCAGGAAGTTGCTGCAGGTTCAAATTTATTCAGGTTTCCATCCCCGGTGTGCGTGCCAAAAGGTTTAGTTTTTCTTGCTATAGTTGACCCACAACCACCACGTCACACCCCTCTGTTGGAGGTCCCAGGTGGCAGCGTGGTCGCATAAGTGCCCAAAGCACTCATTGGAGTATACAAGCAGCCATTCGACTGCGCGCTGTACAAAAATCTCCACTTGCAGAGGGGCTTGGCGTTCTCGGTCGGTGTTGAAGGTTGGTAGTGATGAACTTCAAGACTTCGTGTGGCATCGTCTGCAAGCAAATGTCGTAGACATGGTCTCCATTGGCGTTTCGGATGTTTGTATCGGCTTTGGCTTCAAGAAGCCGCTGAAAAGATGCAACGTTTCCGCGCGCAGCAGCACAAATCAACGGCGTACCGCCATGCATGAATTGAATATCTTGATATAAGCTCCGATTCCAGTGCGTAGCAAGGAAATGGTACAATCCGAACTTCGCCATGTACTTGTAGCCCATCCTGAAGAAGCCTTGTTGGTTGATATCCAAGCCCTGATTGAGGAGGAGCTCGACAGAATCACCAGTGCTCAGGGTAGCATGAAGATGAAGCAAGGAATATCCGTCAAAGAATGAACACAAAACATCTGCATTGTGATCAAGGAGCGGCTCAACAAAATCGTGACAATCAAGCGTCACCGCACAGCAAAGAGGTGTCAGGCCAACATATGTCTTGGCATTTAGGTCAGCTTTCAGCCTGATCAATGTGTGCAAACCGACTTCGTTTGATGCCTCGCAACTGAGCATGAGAGGTGTCCAGCCATTATCTGCTTTTGCATTGACATCAGCAAAGGCACCAATGAGAAGCTCAGCAATATCGACCCTGGATGAAAACATCGACCAAACATGCAAAGGGGAAAGACGGGCCCGAAGGAAATAATCGGGCTCGGCCCGGCAGGTTTGTGCATTGACATCTGCCTTCGCTTTCAGCAACTGGTGGACAAAGTCAAGGCTGCTGCGAGACACTGCGCAATGAAGGTCTGTCCATCCGTTAGACCAAGGCCTTCTATATGCCAACAATGATCGAGTGTCTGATAAACGGGCTAAGCGAGCCTGGGGAGCTTTTGGAGTGGGCTCTCCAGGAAACTGCAGCAGCCTGACAAAAATAGCTTGCAAGAGTTGCTCTTCATGGTGGTTTCCTTCAGCACGAAGCTTCGCAGCTTTTTGTTGCGCCACCTCTCTCAAAGTACGCGCAATGTGCTGCCGATCTTCTTCAACTGTGAACTCTGCAAGACAAGGCGCGAGCTGACAGAACACTCGGTGGAACAAATGCATCACTGAACCCTTTGAAGAGACAAGAAGAACAGGCTTTGTTCCAGCTAGCATTGCCGTAGCCAGCTCAAATTGACACCACCCGCGGCTTCTCCACGATCGGTATGATAGAAGCTGTGCCGATTCATGATGATGCTGAGTTGGAGCGAGAATTGTAAAGCAGGAAGATCTCCCAACATATGCATGTAAGCTCATTATCGCATCCAATTGAGCAGCTTTGGTCGCAACCCTTTCTGGCTCTGTTTGACAGCATGAAACCTGTGGGACACAAGCGAAGTCAATCCAGATCCAGCCATTTGCAGCAGCGGCCAAATATTCAGGTGACACATCACGAATCATGCGGCCCCAAACAAAGTTGCCCTCACGTGTCACCTTGACACAGCCGTTGCGTATAGATTGAATTGTGTCCTGCAAGGTTGTAAGTTGGTGCTTGTTGGGATCTGGGTGGTCGGTAGCTGCCCACTGATGTGACACGAAGGTCACAAATCCCTTTCCATCATGCCTGTGAAGCTGTCCTGTCAGGAGAAGCTCCTGGTGAGGCTTCATTTCCGAGAGCTTCAGGATTTCGTCAGTGTGAATGACCCACATGGGAAATCGTGCAGCCCTTGAGAGAAGGTCCTTCGAGATGTTACCTCTTTCCTGCTCATCATCTCTGCTACAACCACATAATACCCCACAGCCGCACAAAGGCATACTGAACCAGGCTTTTCAAATGGCAAATAATTCTGAATTAGAGCCAACTGCGCTCGTGTGACGGGTAAAGCTCGCACAATATTCTTAAACCGCTGATAGTTTTGTGACGACAAATGTGACACATCGAATCTAACACACCTCAACAGCCTCAAGACAAAGTGATCCCACGCGTGTGCCATGTGTGTCCTTCTCAAACTTGTCATCGGAGATGACTGCACAATAGAGTATGCTACTTCATGGTTGTGCCTTGTATATGAAAATACCAAAAAATACATATAGTATCATATAATAGTATAAGGAATGTCGCAAGGAAGGGTCAGCTAGATCATTGTCAATGTGACAAACTCCAAGAGCCTGACAGGCAAAGGAGGACACTTCTCAGTCTGTGATGGGCCTCGGAACCAGTGCAGCTTTGACATGTTCTGAACAAATTCAGCGCAGTGAGTTATAACAGAAATTCAGTTCTCACAGAGGCTCAGTTGTAAGTGAGAAGCTGCCAATTCAGCAATCCCCACAGCCATGGCTAAGCAATGTGAAAAAGCCTGTGCTTTGAAGCCTGCCATAATCCGAGTAAACACGCTCGAAAGCTCTGTAGCCTCAAGACATCTGACGGTGTTACACTAAGTGGTATGTGTGCCCACATTATTTGGCAACATGTCTTCTTTTGATGTTTGCTTCCCTGAGAGGGTGGCGTGGCACCAACAAGGAGGCAACTGATTGTGATATTTGCAATTGGTTGTTTGCCAGCATATTGATGCTTGGTCCAAAATTGTCTCACAGTGAGGATCAACTCTATATAACTCTATTACCAGTCAACTTTCATTATGAACTTGTCATGGTCAGAATCACAGCCTTGCTGCAGCAAGCCATCCGATAGAATATATAGACTTATAGACCGTTCCAGAATTATATGGGGCTCCAGCGTCGGCTTCGCACGGCACCTCTCTCAAGCGGGTCTCTTTCCAGGTTGGCAAAAGAAACACCAACAATCAATGCACCGTCTAGAATACAGAGCGCCAAGAAAAATGGCAATCTTCCGAACGAGAAACACGCGCAAAAACACAGCGAATCCGAATCCAACACCTTGCTTTGTAGCTGCCTGCGAAAGACGGCCACTGAGCGATGCAGCACGACCGAATTCTACTTTTCCAGATTGGTTAGTTGACCAGTCGTGTGACAAACATGAAAGCCTCTTGCTCTTCTAACTCGCGCTGCCGTTCTTCGGCAGCTTGCTTGGCTTCAAGTTCCTCGGCTTTTTGTTGATGCCTCAGAAAGCACGGCCGAATTTCCAAAGTTCACAAAGGCATACAAAGGCAGTTACAAAGGCTAGTATGGCTATGAGGACAGGACCACTGGACCAATCTCTCTCTTTGTTTTTCTCGGTAATGTGCTTCGCGCAATCGCCTGTTACTGGACGAGAAGGACATTTCATGAAATATATAATATAGTACTATCGAACAGCTTGTTCCCTGCTAGTTGTTTGCCTGCGTGCTTCTTCCTCCTTTTGTAGCCTCTCCTCTTCCTGCACGTGACATCTATCATCTAAGGCCAACTTGCCCAACATATCATGCACGCTTTCTGACTTCTCCAGTACCTTTGACACAATGTATCGCTTGGCCACACCTGTGACTTTTCAAAGGCTTGTTGATTCTTCTTCTCCGCCCAGTCCTGGGCCATTTGTATCATGTGTCTGCTTGAGGTGCTGTAACCTTGAATAGTTGGTAGAGAGCCCCACCCGCAAAGCCAAACGAAACGCAATGGAGACTTGTGTCAAGAAATAAGACACACTTGCTAACTGCTAACCCATACTAACCCTCAGGCCTTTCTGATATATATATATATATTGTATATACATTCCGTTCTGATATCCCTGAACTACTGATACGCTTACCTCTCTCACACTCCCTGATGTTCATGTTGCTTTACTCCGCACACTGGACACACAAAAAGACCTTCATCTGCTAGGCGCTGCTTTTCCATCTTTTGAATCAATGCCATGGTGCAATCTTCGCACCAGTGCAGCCGTTTTTCCAATTTGGACAGAGCCAGCCAGGGAGTCTAAGAATCCCAAAGGCCGAAAACAGGACTCAGGAACTGAGGAAACCAAGGAAACTTACCAAACGCTGACAGTTGCATCTCGTTTGGCTGGCTCACTGGCCTTTTCAGCCGTGGCATGCGAAAGGTCAAAGTCCTGGGGATTTTGGTAGGTGCGGGACGAAAAAGCAAAAAGAAGGTTACAAAAGCCCCAGGTCTTCGGTGTTTTCATTCCCAAGTTCAACATGATCTTCATGCACCTTCTTCTTGAGATTGCTTCATTCATGGCTTGAATTTAATTGGTTTAAAGAGACCAGTTAGAACCACTTGCGATTCAAGGAGCAATGGTAAGGTCTTCCGGATCGAAGCTGCAGCCAGGAGCGCATTCAATCGCCGGGCTCTTTGCTGAAAAGGAATCTGGCCAAAACTCGGCTGAATCCTTCTGCCCTCAAATCAGGACTGGCTGTCTTGTGCAAAACAAAGCAACGCACATGCAGGAGTCGTGGTATCTTTCTGAAAATGCCCAGGTTCTTGACTTTCGACGTCACACAAAGATATCCAAGCTTCTTCAAACGTTTGGTGCGAGCCAGTGCGAGCCTCGTGGGATCACTCCCATGACTTTCAGCGCTTCTGCCACGAGCTGTGAACAAAAAAAGTCCTGCGCAAGGAAACCACTACATATAAACCTATAGTTACACACAGCAACACCTGGTCCTCAATTGGCCCTCACTAGAAAAGCAAACACATCGGTAGACACAGCTTTGCACCAGCTGTGTCAACCGTAGAATGCCTAGAACTCACACTTTCAGAAATCTGCTTCCCTTTGAACACAGTCCTTTTGATCACCACCTGTGGAGCCTCTATGCTGAAGCTTGCCCACCTAAGATTGAAACGGTACCTAAGATTGAACTTGAGGCCAACGGGGGGGCGAAAGCTAGCGCTCCAGAATGGGAAAGTGGAGGGCAGCGAGGTAGAATGGGAAAGTGTTTCACTCTCGTAAACATCACTTGCAATGAGGGATAAAATCACACCAGGTGCACGATTTACAAATACATCTCGAAGCCAAATAGGCTTTGGTAGCAGCGGGTCTGCTCGGAGTAGCAGAAGGCAGGACGCCTTGCACAAGTTGGGCGGGGCAAACGATTCCAGGTGAAGAGTCCTTTATATGTGGCTCTTTGCCCGGATCCTCCTGCGAGAGAAGAGAGAGAGAGAGAGAGGGAGAGAGAGAGATGAGAGAGAGATGAGAAAGAGATGAGAGAGATGAGAGAGAGAGAGAGAGAGACAGTGAGAGTGAGAGTGAGAGTGAGAGTGAGAGTGAGCGAGTGCGGCCGCAAGATACGCAACACTAACCGCATGCCAAAGAGCGACGACAGGACGGAGTCGAACTTGCGAAGAGGGAGGAGGGAGGGAGGGAAGGTGGGAGGAAAACAAGGAGGAGGAGAGGGGAGGTGGGGAGGGGGGGGGGGGGCTTCGACCTGAAAAATCAGGGGTTAGGATTTGCACCCGATCGAAAGAAACCTTGCTATCGCAAGAGAAACTCCAGCTAGCTTCGCTAGCTTTCGTGATTATTCCATCAGGATGTGGGCGCAAAGGAACAAAGTTCCGCAGCTGAAAACTCTGGTGCATTTCAAGCAACGGTGAGATTGTAAGGCTTGCCATAGACATCCGACACCCAATCTTGTAATGCCCGAAGCTTGTCTGAGCTACGCGTGCAGCGGACTCCTGAGCCAGCAAAGTGACCATGCGCGCCACATTCCCATCATTTGTTTCACCAAGTGGCTTCTTGCTCCTAGTAACCTAGTAGCGATTCCAGGAGCTCCTACTAGCGTCCTTGCTCCTAGTATTAAGGCCAAGAGCCCCTGATTAGTAGCGTTTGTTTCACCAAGTGGCTTCTTAGTGCCATCTCCGGATACAGTTTCCTTGGATGCCAGTGAAGGCAAAACGCAAGGCTGTCAAGTGAATAGAAGTGAATCACGCCGAACAAAACTCCTAGCATAAACAGACCCAACAAATACCGTATATACAACCTTTGCAGCAGTCATATCATCTTGATACAATCATATCCCCCTGCTTGATGCATCATTGTTTCTCCCAACTATTGGCAAGGAAGTTGGCCCATGTGCACAGTCCCACACCTTCATTGCCTACAGCAAAATCGTTCCATCTGACAACATCTGGGGAAAGTTGAGGATAGTTGAGGTCTGCGGCATGCTTTACACTTTACACAACAAGGGCGTCCGTGATCACACGTCCCGTTTTCTGCAACCGTCTGAGAGCTCATGATACAACGTGCTCCAGTATCCAAATCCAGCCTGTGGCCTCAAGTAACGCAATGTTGCCACCTTCCAACTTCAGAATGAGACCTCAAAGAGGAGGATTTGATTTGGTCAAGTGACGCTGCCAATTGGAGCCAAGGCCAAGACCAACATGGTCATAGCGTCCTCCAAGTAAAGCCGCCCGAGAGGCAGCTCTGATCAATCTTGGGAAGGTCCCTTGAGACTTGAAAAGCAAAATGTCGCCGCTGTCCTTAGAACTATCTAGATTTGGGAGTCTTGTGTTCATTGTAAGGGCAAATGTCTTTTGAGCCATGTACTTTGCTTCGAGCGATCCCACTGATCCCACCCTAATTACTACTGAGAGGTGATTTGGCAGAAGGACATGTAACAAACTGACCTGACACATGATTTGGCATAGCTACTGCCTGGCATATGACCTGGCTATCGGACAAATCTGACATGTAATCCGGCCTAGAGCGTGAAACATGATGAGGGATTATCCGGCAAATTGTCGGGAACGGGAACACATTTTCTGATAAATAGTGATATAAACATACCTTGTGACAGGTTGCTTGGCTCACATATCCTGTGCATCTGACACGCCTTTTGGCATATTACCTTGCATACGTACATGACATGATCATGCGTATTGTGGCGTATTTCTTGTGTGCTATTTGGCCAATTCCGTAAATTATATAATGCAAGTTGACACACTACAGCGCACAGCGCTAGCAGATTATACTATACAGGCATGAGGAGGAGGTAGCGAGGAGGTGGAGGCGGAGGCGGAGGACACCACTGAAATCAAATCTAGACTCTAGACTCTCACCTGACCGGTGGGGAATTGCCAACATTAAGCGGGTCAAAGCCAAAGGCTCAGCAATCTGCTTGAAAGTCTCGGGTGAAATACGGCTCACTTTCCTCGATTGAGAGGCACTGGCGCTCGCGGTTTACAGGACAAAAGGTGCACAGGAAACTCTAATCCAATCCATGTTCCACCAGGCCGAGTGAAAGCGACCGTAGTTGAAGACGTTGAGCCTGAAAGAAAATGTTGGCCGCGGCAGATTTGTAAGTCCATGTCGCTTGTGGCCCTGGCTGGTCTGCTCTCAATCGCGAACATTGGCTTCTCCTTGCAGCATCCTGCAGCGTATATATCTGATGCATACGTTCATCGGTTCACCACCGAATTGCATAGTCACAAAAACACCGACTTGCTTGTGCCTCCAAATGCTCCAAAATGTCCTGCGACTTGTGCCATCGCATCAACTGCTATTGATCATCTACACACGATTACGAAAGTATTGCGTGTATATTATATAAATATACATTCATAGAATTAACATATCGTTTAGGCATATAATCCAACACATGCAAAACCAGCCACAGGCTCCTGAATCCATTCTTCGCCAAGTTGTTTAGAGGAAACACCTCGGGCTTCAGCCGCAATGGGTGCTCATCAAAGCCTTTGGAGATATCCTCATGGAAACATGCAGGCTTTGGACCATTAATTAAACCAAAGGAGCTGCACCTAGGAAAGCACAACTGAGCCTTTGTGGTGATTGCAATCTAGGTTTCTTCAGCAAGAAGCTACAGCAACCTTGAGATTTGTGAGGAGCCAACGCAGCACGTAGCGTGGAGAAACTGAACCGCGAGAGCTTAAACTGAGTCTTGCTTTGAGAGCCTTGTCGCGTACATTTCCCTTTAGCCCGCATCTAGTGCTTGCTAGCGAGAGAATACAGCGATAATTGCACTGATTCCCCAATATCCTGAGATGAGCTAGCGGCAACTAGCGCAATTCTAGCACGACTAGTGAAAGATTCAAATAATGACAAATACACGGTACTTGCAGGGAACTGCTTGGCAACAAACACTTATGTATCTTATAACTTATAACTTATATCATCTTATATCTAGGATACGAGCAGAAGCGGTAGTTGAGAAATGAACATCCCTTCACGTAAATCGCTGTCAATCTTCCTGATTGCATTTCATGACTTCAACTCTAGCTTTGTCGGGCGTGGCAACACTTTGACCCTGTTGCATTGCCAGTGTGTACAAATCGCATTTGGTTTCCGTGTATGTTTGACATCTTGCTGCCATTTTTTTGGGGTGGGGCCTTTTCATTAATCACTTGGCATATATGTTTGCATCTTTATGGAATCAATGCCATGCGAGTATATTCCTGTGGCTATGGGTCTGTCAGTTTGTCAGTTCCCAAAGGCCTCCACCACACTGTATTATCCGGATTCGACGGTTTCTCAAATCATAATGTTCTCCACTCAACTTTGCAAGAACATTCAAAGATGCCAGATTGGAAGGCCCACGGCAGCAAGATTTGTCAAACAGAAAACCAAATGCACCACGAGATGATATGCTTTGAGCCACACCACGAGCCGGCAAGTCCGGTGTCTTGGGCATCGCACACATCTCAAAAGCACGATTGCTGCCAGCCACCAAGAGTCGGAAGGCCACTTCCCCAGCTGGAGAGAAAAGGCTGGAGATGCACACACTCCTGCGTGGCGGTGCAATGTGAGGCTCTGAATCCTTTCGGTATTGAAAATTACGAGTAACATTATTGGCAAGCAAAGTCGTTCTAGCAGCGATTCTAGCATATGAGAAGTAAACTCAGCGTCCAAAACAACAGTACTCCAAATGTTGGCTGGGCAGTTTCCAGTTTACCGAGGGGATGCCAGTGCTACTGCAAGTTTTTTCCCTGTCTCTCTCCACCGCCATCAGCGTCAAGGGAGCGAGGTCCCAAAGCACAAAACGGGCATGCAGCTGTGCACATTGAAAGGGCAAGGTGAATACAATTTGCTTGCTGGGGTTGAGTACGAGCGGATTTACACTTTCCGCATTCTTCCACAAAAAACCTGACTGAACCCAGGAACCCCGACTGCACACACGTTCAACGAGAAAAGCAAAGTCCAAACGCAGCAGGCATCCCTGTAGGACGCTCTTGTTGCGCAATTTTGAGGGACACTCTTGTGGGACGCTCGTAAGGCCTGTGGGACACTCTTGTAGGACACTTCTTGTAGGAGACGCCCTTGTCTCCTTACGCCAAGCGTCGCGGACACCTTCACTGATCCCGCTCCCCAGCGACAGGCGTGTTTACACCACCGTTTTCCCTTCCCCCAATGGCACGGACTCACACAAATGCACTTCCCACCCAGGCCGTGCAAAACCGCATGGCACAGCGACGTCACAAACGTCGTTTCGCCACATCCCGCCCTGCATTTGCACTACAAAGCTACCACTTCTGATACCACAGCTCCCAGAAACCACTTCCTGTTCTACCTTTGTGCTACAAGCTTGCCAATTCTGAGGCCACAGTTCCCTCCCAGTTTTGAGGCCAGCTCCCAAAATCTGCTCCGAGCACTACATTTGTACCACAAAGTGGCCAGGAAACACTCTTGTGGGACACCCTTGCAGGAACGAGCGCTTCATACGAGACATCCTCCAAAAGCCACACGTGAATGAAGTTACGCACGAGAACCCATCCACAAAAAACAAGGCTCAAAAACTAGCGCTTCGTACGCGACTTCCTCCAAAAGTCCTGCGGCAAGTCTCCAAACGAGCATTTCGTCCGAGACCCCACCAAAAGCGCCCATTGATTTTAACTGAGACTTGTCGAGGCAACTAGGGTTCCACTTTAGGGCTCCGTTGAAAGCGGTTTAGTTGTGAAAGGTTCTTGGAACCCCCTTTGGGTTCTTAGAGGTTCTTATATAGTGCAAAAGGGGTTCTTAGAAACGGTTCTGGGCTAAGAGACTTTCAATATGAAATGTTCAGGCCACCAGAAGTAGAACAAAGAGGAGAGTTTGCGTTAGCTTTTGCAAGGCCCCGTGGAATGAACAAGTGAATGCATCATGTCTCAGAACAACTTCTGGATACCTTCACTGATTGCATTGGGCAAATACTATTAAACTAAAAATGTTTCATGGCATTGATCCACACACATCTACACACTACATGTGTGAAGTTTGAAAGTGCTCACAATTTTCATCAACTTTCTAACTAATTATGCAGCTTATAAGTTGTCCTTTCCATCGGTGTCTCGTTCAGAATTGGCGTGTCTGGATAGCTCGATTGTTTTTACAGTACTAATACTGGGGAAATGTCTACAAGCAAGTGGTATTATGAGTGGCTACAACTTTTTGACTGGTTTCTGGTGCTCTAAGAGCCTGAGCTAGGTTCCAACTTCCAAGTGGTTCTTATTGGGGCCCCCTGGGCTATGCCCTGGTTCCCCATTACGTCTCTAAAGTGGAGCCTCAAAAGCACAGCTTCGAGGCAACAGCCTGGATTGCAAATCCTACTGTCACAGCGACATCCAACACCTCCAACAGACCACCCTGCGAACGCCAACTGGCAAAGCGAAGGGAACTGAGGATTTCACAAAACGCTGCACCTGCGCAGCAAAATCATCCTCCACACTTCAACATGTCACGTTTCCATGCTATCTCACACGAATCTGACACTCATGCTTCCATCTAAAACCTCCTCCAAAAGCTTCCCCCACTGTCAGCCCCTTAGCGACCCAACCGCGAACGGCGGCCAACGGTTGCCAACGCCACGACAACGCCTCATGAACAAGACTCTACCCCCAGACCCCCAAAGTGAAACGAGAACCCTTCGCTACGCATTCGTTAAAAACACCTCAAATCCTTTGCAACCATTTCCAAGCCTGCACCCACGCTCTTTCCCACGCCGCACAGACGGTTGACCTTGGTGCCATCTAGGCACAATCTCTGGACGCTAGGATCCGTTGGAATCCGTGCTTAGCAAAAATGCCACATACAAAACCAAAAACACCAGCGAATTAAGCTGAACTCTGCTAACGACTCAGAGTTTGCCGAACCTAACATGCACTCAGAGAGAAAGTCATTGAACGGAAGGGACCAGCTGAGCCACTTGATCCGGAATCATGGTTGTCATTATCCCACAGCCGCTCTATTTCAACTTCGACTAAGTCAAAGTCAATCACACCTTGGCTACTCACAGCATACCAAACGTATTGCAACAAATCATGCCACGCAAGCGTTTATATAATTAAGATGTGCCCACATGCACGAGAAGAACCGTCGACTTGCCCTATTTATGTAATTGGACCGAGGGAAGGATGTAGCCGCGTCAAAAAATATAAAGCGCACACACACAAACAAACATGTCATCAGAACGACTGGACGAGCATCCAGAGAGGCACCACGACTTTAAGCACCTGGGCCTCAAGTCTGCCTTCAGTGCCTGACGAGTTCCTGGTGATTCTGTGTGGAGTCAACTCAAGTGAAGAAAAGGATACTGAAACATACTCAAACGAGGGCGTATGATGGTACAGGAGAGTGCCACATATATACATAGTACACACAGTATAGTCATCTGTCATAGTCAAAACCAGTACAGCAAACTGCAAGCTTGCTTGAATCAAATCAAACCATTTCTTGACTCTGCTGATCTAAGGTGCCATGAAGCTTCTTCATCTGCGGACCTGTGAAAGCCGACTCAAATCTCAATAGTAAGGCTGCGGCAAGGTTGCAGCGTTGCTCTGCAGGCATATTTGGATGCAGCTTGGCCACCATCGAACCATGCAAGTCTACGATCTCTCAAAACCAACCATCTCCACTGCCAGCTTGTCAGCCAACTTGCGCTGACTCTTTTGACTTGACCAGACCTGAAAGCACAAAAGCGAGTCAAGGAAGTCATGCTACGATTCGGAACTCTACAATTGTGAGCCTTTCTGGTAGCTTTGCCTCCTTCTCATATTTGAGCATCGCCTCACTCACCAGAATTTGATCGAAGACCACGGCCACAGCATTTGCCAAATGCTCTACATGGAAAACATTTGTCCACCGACCTGAGAGGTGCCTTTGGTCAGCGCATCCGCCACAACTTTGGCTTCGGAATCCTCTTGTGTGGACTTGGGGCCACCAATAGTCTGCAATACAAACAAGTTAACAAGAAATAAAAGCTTTTCTTTTCCTCTCTCTCTCTCTCACTCCCTCTCTCCCGTCTCTGCGTTGTGCGCAGTCCTCAGGCATTTTAGTTGTTTCTCTTCGTCTCGCAAACTGGTTCATGGCTTGCTGCCTATGCAATCGGCTCTCGCCCGGGGTCTTTGCAGTCTATCACAAAGATCGAAACAACACTGTCATACTGATCGCCACGAGAAGCAAGCAAGCAAGCAAGCCAAGCCAAGCCAAGCCAAGCCAATATCACCCAAGCCAAGCCAAGCAGCCAAGCAAGCAAGCAACGGGCACAGCAAATCATTCTGGCTGGGGAGCGGAGCTTTTATAAGGGCTTCACCAGCCAACACTAAGCATCGCAAGCAGGAGGGAGACAAACAGCAGTGTGTCATCAGTGACAAGTAGCCTATCTTCTTCCGGCATTTCTTCCAGTTCCTTTCCATCCATATCGCCACCATCAGATCTGTCATCAGAGTCCTTGGCACCAAAGGATGGAGCAGAATGTTGGCAAAGCCATGGCCTCTTCTTCTGGAGGATTTCTTTAGTCTCTTTGTAGCTGCGCTTCCGGTGCTTCCTGACAATCATCTTCCTCCAACTCCACCTTTGCGAATCCACACCAATTGCCAAAATCGTCCTTTCATGCCCTCGGCTGGGGGCCTTGTGATGGGGAAAAGGTGTCAAAGTAGTATGAAGGGTGTTGAATGATGCACTCAGCCGGCAACCTGAGCATTACCCTCTGTGGTGGTCCGGACAAAGCTGGCATGGCTCTGACCTGCGTAAGGCATCTTGTGACATGAGCTATCTGACAACTTGAGGCTGCTTGGTGGAAACATAGTTTAAACCACGGTTCCGGTAGCTCTGCAAACATACTTAAAGGCTTAAAGGCTTAAAGCTTGCACTTCTTCTTTTTCTCAAGTGTTCTTCCAAATGCCTTTGGAGATGCCACTCTCCGGCTCTGGGTTAGCCATCCGCAACCGGGAGGCTGTCTGTGCTTGCTGTTCTTGCTGTGCACATCTTAATTTCCCCAGAGTCTGAGCATTTTTCTCAAACCAAGCAGTGACGCTCAAAGTATACTCAGCTTGCCGAGAATCCTCTGCAGCAATATTAGATTCAAATTAAAAAACGCATATCCAACGAAAGGAAACTGGTTTGGTGCCAAATCACCTAGTACTTGGAATAGTTTGTATGGGCAATGCAACCTTGCAGTCTAAACTAACGTCCTGCGCTCTGCAAATATGTTTCTGCGGTGAAGCATGCCAAGCTGCAAAATATGCCATGATGATATGATATTCAATGCAGGCTCTGACTTAGATAGACATCCGAGGACGCAACTGCTAGTGATTGACGCAGCTTCTCCCCTCGCCTGAAAAAACACGGGGCTACTGGGCATTCGTAGTTGCTTCAAAAAGCAGCGGCACCCAGCTTTTGACATTCAAGGAGTTTGGAAGATAACGAGTCTAAGCTAGGATCTTTGTCCATCGCTCTCGCTCCCGTAGTTCCTGCTCTTCCCTTTGCCGATCCAACCTTGCGAGCTCGATACATTGCCCAGCTACAGTCATCTTCAGGTGCTGAGGCTTATACTTCTCCAGTCGCATGCGCTCTGCTTGCTCCTCCTGAATTGACTGCGTCGTGAGCTTCCTCTCTTGTACATGGGAACTGTGACTCGCAACGGCAGTCTCCATCAGTCTCCACAGCCTTGTCTTTCTTCTCCCTCCATTCTGTCAACCGATCAAGAAGCTTAGCCTCCCAGAGGCCACCCTTTGCCACAAGCAGAAACAAGAAGTTACTAGGGGCTCCTGGCATCGCTACTAGGAGCAAGGACGCTACTAGGGGCTCCTGGCCAGTCTACGCCGTCTATGCATACCGTATTCCCCCGCTGTGGTCACCAAACGACCTGTCGCTTTGCTGTGCGCATCTCTATCTCCCAGCGCTGCCGTTCTTGGCCTGGATCAAACATCGTTCATTTCTTTTGCACATCTGGTCATCTTGTCTTATCCATTCCCGCAGGCGTGGAACATTCAACGCATTCAATGCCTAAGAGCTCCACGCATCCATGTCTCTGCTTCATAGCGAGCAACGCGCAAAAAACTATTCTGTGCCTCGCCAGTGTTTCAACCAAGCTCTGTTCTTTTGGGGGGGCCCTGAAACAAATCGCAGCTTCTCCAAGAGCCTCCGTGGACATCGCGTCCAATCTAAGCTCGGCGTTTCCTCCAAATATTCTCGGATAGTTGCTCCTGAGATGGAGTAAACGACAGGTCTCAAAATTGGCTTGCAGGTCTTCGCCATTCCTCATCGTACAACTGTATAGTCACTGATGGCACGTGATAAGAAGCAGGCCAAGTGCCACACTAGAATGCAACCAAGCAACACTGAAGGAATGTTCCTCAAGCAAAGCCATGCTATTCATCTGTGCTGGTGAACATTGTGGACCCATAATGAATGGTTTTGCCCAGCTGCATGGACGTGAGCTGAAGGGCACGCTTCACCCTTACAGCATCAACATGAGCTGCTGTCCGACCGTGAACGCAGTTTAAGTGAGAAGCAAAACGATGGGCATATTCGTAGGACATGAGTTGAGGTGAGGTAAAGCCAAAGAACACATGCGCACACACAGAGGGGTACATTAAAACATTACATGTATGTATCAGTATCTGTACAAGCAGTTCCCGGGCAAGCCGGCGGCGGAAGTTTCCAAAAGAATAAACCTATAGGAAATGGGCATGTGGCAGGCTGATTCGCCGAGCTGCGATGTTCTTTGACAAAACAAGTTGGAACCAACCAATGGAGCGAAAGCGAAGCAGCCACCGTCAACTGTCTCGCTCTCCACTAAAGCCAGAGCATAGCTCTAGCTCTAGCTCCACTAAAGCTAACTGGAGCTAGACGTTAACTATGATGTGACAGCTTGTCTAGACACGAAGCTAATTAGCTCAAATTTGTCAACCTCTCAAAACACGTGCTTTGAGGTCTCCAGAAAGTAATCGAAGTGACCACTTTTGAATAAGCAAAGTGGCTAAAATTTGTCAAACTCTCAAGAGAGCCGGGTGGTCGGGAGACATGACTCAGCTGCAGGGGCGCCAGAGCAGCCACGAGAGATGACTCAGCCGCGTACTAAAGTTGCACTACAAAGTCGCCAGTTCTCAGCTTCCAGATCCCCAGATTGCTCCGCGCACTAAAAGTTGTACTACAAAGTCGCCAGTTCTCATCTTCCAGCTCCCCAGATACTCCGCGTACTAAAGTTGTACTACAAAGTCGCCAGTTCTCAGCTTCCAGCTCCCCAGATACTCCGCGTACTCCAGTTGCACTACAAAGTCGCCAGTTCTCAGCTTCCAGCTCCACAGATTGCTCCGCCTACTAAAGTTGTACTACAAAGTCGCCAGTTCTCAGCTTCCAGCTCCACAGATTGCTCCGCGTACTAAAGTTGTACTAGAAAGTCGCCAGTTCTCATCTTCCAGCTCCCCAGATACTCCGCGTACTAAAGTTGTACTATAAAGTCGCCAGTTCTCAGCTTCCAGCTCCCCAGATTGCTCCGCGTACTAAAGTTGTACTACAAAGTCGCCAGTTCTCAGCTTCCAGCTCCACAGATTGCTCTGCGTACTAAAGTTGTACTAGAAAGTCGCCAGTTCTCAGCTACTAAAGTTGTACTACAAAGTCGCCAGTTCTCAGCTTCCAGCTCCACAGCTTGCCCTGCGTATACAAAGTCGCCAGTTCTCATCTTCCAGCTCCGCAGATACTCCGCGTACTAAAGTTGTACTACAAAGTCGCCAGTTCTCAGCTTCCAGCTCCACAGATGCTGCGCCTGCCACGAAATCTGCACATGGAAGTTCACAAAGTGCTGTGCCTGCCGAAATCTGCACCTCGAGGTTTACAAAGTGCCCTGCCACGAACTCTGCACATGGAGGTTCACAAAGTGCTGTGCCTGCCACGAAATCTGCACATGGAGGTTCACAAAGTGCTGTGCCTGCCAGGAAATCTGCACATGGAGGTTCACAAAGCGCTGCACCTGCCACGAAATCTGCGCGTGGAGGTTCACAAAGTGCTGCGCCTGCCACGAGATCTGCACATGGAGGTTCACAAAGTGCTGCGCCTGCCACGAAATCTGCACATGGAGGCTCACAAAGTGCTGTGCCTGCCACGAAATATGCACATGGAGGTTATCAAAGCGCTGTGCCTGCCACGAAATCTGCACATGGAGGTTGACAAAGTGCTGCGCCTGCCACGAAATCTGCACATGGAGGTTCACAAAGTGCTGCGCTGGCCACGAAATCTGCACATGGAGGTTCACAAAGTGCTGTGCCTGCCGCGAAATCTGCACATGGAGGTTCACATTAAGTGCTGTGCCTGCCACGAAATCTGCACTTCAAGAAGCAAGTGAAAACTCTAATCACAATGGAGGGGTGATTCCAACCATGATCCTAGCGTGATCCAACCATGACCCGAGACCGTCTCGCAACCGTCGTTCCGCGAAACTGCCCCGTCGAGGTTCGGAGAAGCATGGAGGTTCACAAAGTGCTGTGCCTGCCACGAAATCTGCACATGGAGGTTCACAAAGGGCTGCGCCTGCCACGAAATCTGCACATGGAGGTTCACAAAGTGCTGTGCCTGCCACGAAATCTTCACATGGAGGTTCACAAAGGGCTGCGCCTGCCACGAAATCTGCACATGGAGGTTCACAAAGTGCTGTGCCTGCCACGAAATCTGCGCATGGTGGTTCACAAAGTGCTGTGCCTGCCACGAAATCTGCACTTTCAAGAAACAAGTGAAAACTCTAATCACAATGGAGGGATGATTCCGACCATGATCCTAGCATGATCCGACCATGACCCGAGACCGTCTCGCAACTGTCGTTCCGCGGAGCTGCCCCGTCGAGGTTCGGAGAAGCATGGAGGTTCACAAAGTGCTGCGCTGTGCCTGCCACGAGATCTGGACATGGAGGTTCACAAAGCACTGCGCCTGCCACGCAATCTGCACATGGAGGTTCACAAAGTGCTGCGCCTGCCACGAAGTCTGCACATGGAGGTTCACACAGTGCTGCGCCTGCGACGTAAACTGGAGCTAGGGCTCTTGAAACTAGAGCTAACTGCATGATGAGTGGTGTCTGATGAGTGGTGTATGATGAGTGGTGCATGATGAGTGGTGCATGATGAGTGGTGCATGATGAGTGGTGTCTGATGAGCGGTGTATGCTGAGTGGTGTATGATGAGTGGTGTATGATGAGCGGTGTATGATGAGTGGTGTATAATGAGTGGTGTATGATGAGTGGTGTATGATGAGTGGTGCATTGATGAGTGGTGTATGATGAGTGGTGTATTGATGAGTGGTGTATTGATGAGTGGTGTATGATGAGTGGTGTATGATAAGTGGTGTATGATGAGTGGTGTATGATGAGTGGTGTATTGATGAGTGGTGTATGAACAGTTCTTGAATGTCCGTAACACGGAAGTTTCGTACACTAAACTTCCTTTGATAAGTCTTTTTATGCGCATTCGATTACGATTCGCAGGCATTGAGGATGGCAATGGCAAGAATTAAGAAATCCGAATAATTCGCAGAAAGTTATTTCAAAAAAAATATATCATTGACAATCTGATTGGACAAAGCAAATCAAATCAAGGTTAGATAAAGCAGGAAAAGGAGGAGAACAGCTGGCTTGAAACAAAAGCATTCAAGAAAACACCAGTGGGGCCGTGAGGTGAAAAGAAGGTGTCTGAGAATCAAACATCACATCGGTTTGGCAATGCACACGTGCTGATGACGTGCTCATGCTTACTACCACGCCAAAATATATCAAGTTGATCATGTAAGCTCTACGGTTGAAGGCAACATCTTGGCGATTTCAAAGGGCTAGCAATGGGGGAGCACCCAGGCGCTGGCTGAGAAGGTGAGGGAACAGAAGTGCAAAATTCGGTCGGGGTGGGGTATCTTGGGAGGTCCCTCTTCTCAAAAAGGGGGCAGCAAACACAGGAAAACATGCAGGTACAGGGGCTGGACACCCGCAGATGACTTGACATGAATGAACAAAAACTCACCTGCAATTG